GTTGATGAGTCTTCTTCCAATCCTGATGCCACATTCCTCCTCGTAAAGCTCAGTCTCCTGAATGATCTGTTCTGTATGTAGATAGAAAAGGAATGGAGACAGGATGCATCCCTGACACATTCCTTTCCTGGTTTTGAACCATGCAGTGTTTCCCTGTTCTGTTCTGAGGACTGTTTCCTGGCCCAAGTATAGGTTTAGGATAAGCACAATCAAGTGTCCTGGGATTCCTAATCTCCTCAAGGTTAGGACAGGGTGGATTTTCTTTCTAACAGTGGACAGAGAGTCCCCACTCTGAGAACTCCATGCTCTTTTACCTGACATGGTGCCTGGGCACATGTTGGACGGTGGTGGGGTTAGGTGGTGTTGAATTGGCTCTGATTCGTGCACAACAGGATGAAATCCTGCGCTGTCCTCACAGTCTCCGCTGTGTTTAAGCCCACTGCATCGTTCCATCTCATTGAGGGTCTTCTGTTTTCCTGACCCTCCACTTTTCCAAGCATGATGTAATTCTCTAGGGACGGGCCCCTCCTGATTACATGCCCAAAGTATGCGAGACGAAGTCTCCTTCTAAGCAGCTCTCTGGCTGCGTTTCTTCCAAGACAGATTTGTTTATTCTTCTGGCAGCCCACGTTATAGTCCATAATCTTTGCCAACACCAAAATTCATGAGCTGGTGATGGGATACTGAGGCCCTGGTCTGAATCCCTGCCCCAGACATCTTCCCGTCTTCTCATCCCTCTACCCCCCAGGCCGGGGACCTGAAGTTGATGCTGTGAGCTCTGGAAAGACTAGACTTGGAAGGATATGGAACCCTGAGAGCTGGGGAGGCAGAGAGGCCTGACCCTCAGCGAGCCTGTGTTTCTCTTTGGCAGGTGGCCACGGAGGTGGAGGAATTGGAGCCACCCCCGTGGGGAGGACGTTGAGGAATTGCTGCTGAACCTAGAAGGCACTCCAGAAATGCATTACCTCTTCCTGTCACTTGTCTTTATTTTCTTTTTTAAATAACATTTTAATTGTGATTTTTAACAAACCTTTACAGAGATGTTAAATTTTCATTTGTTCATTGTTACGTATTTTACACCCTTTCCCTCAGTTCACTATTTAAAAAAAAAATATTCATTCATTATTGCACAATTATGTACCTCCCCACCCCGCAGTCCTCTTTGCAGTAACAGATCTCTAATTCTGGGCTGTTGTCATAAGAATAGTGCCTAAGCATATATTAATTTTAAAGAGTTATTTTCTTCATCTGTTCCAATGCTGTGGTTATTAGCTATCCACTCTCACCCTAGTCTCCTCCCAACCCCGCATGTCAGACCTGCTTTAGAACAGTGGTGCTATGCAGTATTTGTCCTTTTGTGACTGAGATATTTCACTCAGCATGATGTCCTCCACAGTCCCCCATGTTGTGTAATGTTTTATGAGTTCCTTGTTTTTCAGTGCTGTGTAGTATTCCATTATAGGAATATACCAGGGTTTTCCTATCCATTCGTTTGTTGATAGGCACTTGGGTTGCTTCCATCTCTTTGCTATTGTGAAGATGCAGCAGTAAACATGGGTGTGCATACATTTGCTTGGGTGACAGCTCTCTCACTCACGAAAGGACTGCAATACTGCAATAACACCACTGTTATAAAGCAGGACTGACATGAGGGTTTGGGGGAAACTAAGAAAAGAGGAGATAAATAATGAACACTGCATTGGAACAGATGAAGGAAAGAACTGTTTAAGTTGATTAGGCATTATTTTCATGACAATAGTCCAGAATGAGAGGTGCACAGAAAAGTGGATGGGGGAGGAGTTGAGGGAGAGGCAGGAAATGATGCGACAAAGGATAGAGATTTTCTTTAAAAAGTTGAACTGGGGGTTAGGGAGGAAAATGTGCAACAATGAATGAGTGAAAATCCAACTTTTCTTAAAATCACAATGGAAAAAAAAAGGAAGAGGGCATCTGTCTTGTTAGAGACCACCCTCATCCTTAAATCAGGGCAGGCCCAGGCAGGCCCACACTTGAACTGCAGCCTGTCTCCCTGGCCTGTTTCCAGAATATTCCTCCCGCTGACTTCGCTCTCTCTCTCTCCAGCAGGGCAGGTGGCTTCATAATCAGGCTCCCCTTGCCTCGGCTGTGCAGAGGCGGCAGCTGGGTTTGGATAGTGACCCTCGGCTGGCCACAGCTGGGTTGTCCCCCCCCCCCCCATTTAGCTTGTGCAAGGATTGGAGGGCGAGGCTGCAGTGTGCTGGGAACAGGCTGTAGGTGCCGTAGGTGGGGCTAGAGCCATTTACTCTGGTTTCACAACCATCCTTCCCTCCTCCTTGAATGTGGAACGCTCATTGTCCAAACACTCGCTGGTGGGGTCAGGGGTGCCGAGAACGAGAATCTGGGGAGTGGCTGCATCCCCCTTCTTGCTGTCCCTTCTCCATGCTTCCTGGGTGCCCTGCTCTCTCTCATGCCCTTTCACCTCTGCTTGTCCCTCTGCCTCGCTTTCTTTGGGCCCATCTCTGAAGGAAGTAGACCCGGAGTAGTAAGCATAGCTTTGGAGTCAGGTGGGTTTGGGGTCCCAACCTGGAGTGCTTCATGCTGGCCTTGATGCCTCTGTCTGTTGTGAGGACAGCAATGGTTTGAGTGTCCCAGGAAAGTGGGAAACCAGGCTTGGTGAGGTCGAGGCCTGTGTGTGGTCTTTTAGTCTCTGAGGGCTGCTGGGAGAGGAATACTGCAGTGGGGTATTTTAAAGAACAGAAACGTGTTTTCTCACAGGCTAGAAGTCCACTCTTAGGGTGTGGTTCTAGGGGTGGGCTGTGCTTTGTCTCAACTTTTAAACCAAAACCACTTCCACTCCCATCGAGCTGATTTCCACGCGTTATAGCTGAGATCCTTGAAGTTCCTGGGTTTGTAGATGCACCTTCCTCCTCAGTCGGCCAGTGTCTGTCTTCGTCTTGTGTCTGTGTGTCTCTGCCATTCTTTCTGTAACTTCATCATAACCACTCATGGACTGAAACATGCAGTGACCAAGCGAGTAACCAGACCAGGCGAAGTTTCATTCCATTGTGTGTGTGAGATTGCTGTAGACAGAGTGCACCTGATGGCAGGTGACAATGTTATCACCTGAGGTGGTTCCATTTAGGACCCACCCTACACTGTCAGAGGAGTTCTGGTGGCTGAGTGTGTTACATGTCGGGCTGCTAACCAAAAGGTCAGTGGTTCAAATCTACTAGCTTCTCTGAAGGAGAAAGACGGACAGTCTGGTCTCCTCCTGTGAAGACTTAACACCTAATAGAGAGTTGCCACAAGTCTGCATTTACTTGAAGGCAGTGGGTTTTTGCTTTTCTACACTGTTATGACTTCAACGGATTGATTATGTTAATGTGTTGAGATATATATCTCATTGCTGATCTGACTATCTCATATAAATCTCTCATATCTTATATATATCTCATGTGTGTACTGTTGTTATGTGCCATCAAGTTACCTGCGACTCATAGCGGCCCTATGTACAATAGCTCTGAAGCCTTCCCTGTTCTGAGCCAGTCTCACATTGTCTGAAACACCTACCCCTATTAAATCAACAGGTGCTTGTTGTTAGGTGCTGTCAAGTTGAGTATGACTCATAATGACCCTATGAACACCAGATCTGAACCTTGTCCTATCTCTTGCCATCCTTACAATCTCTGACACACTCAAGTCCATTGCCACAGTCACTATATCAATATTAAGATTGTCAGATTAAGACAGACTAGGAAGAAGGATTGGCCATCCACTTCTGAAATAACAGGCTTTTAAAAACCCTATCGACAGACTGACATAGGGTTGGGGGGAGACTGAAAAAGATGGGGTCAATTATGTATCCTGCATTGAAACAGCTGAGGGAGAGAACTGTTTATAGAGGATACATGATGAGGTATTATTGTCATGACAGGAGTCCAGAACGAAAGCTGCATAGTGGAGTGGACTTGGGGGGGATTGTATAACAATGAAAAAATTTTTCTTTTAATTTTCAAAGAGAAGAGTGAACTGGGAGGAAGGGGAGGGCAGGGAGAAAAGTGCAACAATGAATGAATGGAAATCCAAAGTCTCTGTAAATGTTCATTAAAATGAATAATAATAATAATAATAAAAGAAAAAACAAACAAACAAACATAAAAACCCCTATCAACAGTTGAACACTAGCGGAACATGAAGAGAGTATAAGAACCCACACTGGCAGTAAATTCAAACGAGGAAAAAAAGCTGCAAACATCCTTTAATAGTTGGTATATGGAATAGACGGAGCGTGAAATGTTGGGAAACTAGTTGTGAGAAATGAAATTGAACATGTGAACATTGACATTCTGGGCATTAGTGAAACGAGGTGGACTGGCTTTGACCACTTTGAATCAGAATATCCTCAGGTGGTTGATTGCCCTCAGGTGGTCTCCAAGCCTGCGTGAGGGACTTCACTCATAGGGGGATAAACTCCACGTGGTCCAGAGCCACCAGGTGCTTGAGCCCATTGTACCTGTCATGTGGTCAGTCCTTCTCATAGACGATGGCATTCACTTTTGCTGACCCTCTGCATAACCTAGCATGACGTCCTACTGATTGTCATTGTTTGGTGCCATGACACCCTGTGACAGAGGGATTTTTATGTTGTAGACTTGATTGTCACAAGGTCACTGGTTCTTTCTTCTGTGGCTCCCTGAGTGGGTTTGAACCACCAAGGCTTCAGTTGCCTGAGCACTTAATCACTGGGCCACCAGGGCTCCTCATTCTCGGGGTCAGAGGTTAGGATTACAACACATATTTTGGTGGGGGCACAACTCAATCCACAGTGGTGTCTGCAGGGCCACTGCGGTGTGGTCACTGTCTCTTCCTCCTCGAGCCTGGTGGGCATCAGGGGAGAGCAGGGCTCTGGGCTGTGGTGACCTGAACCAGGGCTCTGGCCCTGAAGGTCCTTCCAGAGTGGGCGGCAGGATGGGCTGGCTGTTGGTGACCGAGATGCTGAATATGTTTGTCCCTTTATCCAGGCCCCACGTGTGTGCAGAGCGGGAGATGACCCTGGTGGCCCGCCACCAGCCCTGCGTGCAGGCCTTCAGCCGAACTGTGCCCATGTGGACGCCAGGCTGCGGGTCACAGAGGTGGTGTGTCAGCCACGTGAGGCGGTAAGTGGTAAGCAGGTCCTCCCATTCCATGTGGGAGGACCTGCTCACATCCACAGTCCACTCACTGCCTGGAGCGGAGAACTTTGAGCTGGAGCAACCTGGTCAACCCCAGATAGGATAGAGGGCTAGTCAGGACACCCAGGCCCTGGGGGCAGTGGGAAATGGGGGGCGGTGCCTGGGGGAGGGCTTAGTGAAAAGGAAGCCTTTTGAGTCTTAATCTCTGGCTTTACCCAACCATTTGGTCATTGTCCACCAGCCTGTTTCCTTATCTGTGAAATGGGTTGAGAACACTGCTGAGATCCCTACCTATTAGCACTTGTCTTGGCCCTGAGGCTGTTGGGACAAAATGCCTACACTGGTGACTTAAAACCAGAGACTCCTATTCTCTCAGCCCTGGAAGAGGGAAGCCGGAAACCTGGGGGTCATCAGGGCAGTTCTCCCTCTGAAGACACTGACGGGGAGACTGCCTTGAGTTTTCCCGCTTCTGGTGGTTGCTGAAAATCCTTTAGCTGTGTCACTCCAGTCTGTCCTCATGCTGCCCTCTCATTTCCTTCGAAGGACACGGACCCTTGGGCTGAGGGCCTATTTGCTTAGTCCGGGATGATCTCGTTGTAGATCTTCAGCTTCATTCCATCTTCTAAGACCCTCTCTCCAAATAGTCATACTCACAGGTTTGGGACATGGACCTGACCTCTCTGGGGGGCCCCATTGAGCCCACTGCGTGCTAAACCTGTTGATGGTTGGCTGCAAACTAAAAGGTTGATGATTTTCAAACTTCCTTCCTGGCTGCACAGGATCGAGACCCAGTGATCACCTCCTGTAGAGGTTTCTCACTGCCGTCAGGTTGATTTCACCTCTGGGCCACCTTTTAGGACAGAGCAGAGCTGCCCCACAGGGGTGCCAAGTGGTAGGTGTATTTGAACCACTAGAGCAGCCCAAGAAACTCTGTAGAGAAATTCTACTCTCTTACACACAGCTAAGTTAAAATGCATTTACATCACCTAACCAAACATTCTTCTAGGTGGTATAGCACTGGTCTGTGCATTGCTGTACAGAGGTAACTTGTGGTTGCTGTGATGCTAAACAGAGTGACACTGATGGGTCCAATACGATAATGGTTACCCATGGAGAATAATGTTTGGTGGCGCTCCCCAATTAAAACAAGCTTGGAAGCAGGCGTGGCATCCACTTGCATAATAGCTTGCCTCCAGAAACTCTATGAACAGTGCTCAGGCCTTTCGTTCATAGGGTAGCTATGAGTCGTCTACGACTCGCCGGCACCTAACAACAACAACAAGAGCAACAATCATATGGAACCCAGGAGTGCCTCTCTCTAACTGCCTGGCACAGGGCAGGGCTTAAAGATAGGTACTACCAGGAGGGCTAGAGCTGGCCTTGGCTGGCCCTACACCTAGTGTTGGAACCCACTGAAGTCATCTGGGCTTGTCTGAACTCATCCCCAAGTCCCTGGACCAGCCTGAGCAGGGGGAGCTGAAGTTCACCATTGCCTGACTACTTACTCATGCTTGCTGTATTTTCTCCGGTGTCTACACAGCTGGCATTGAGATTTTAAAAATGAGGAACCTGAGGCCCAGAGTATTAGGCAGAGTGGTCATGACTAACTCAGCAAGAGAGGTAGCATTGAAGCATGAACCTTGGTCCATTTAACTGTTGAGTACTGGATATGGCATTCACAGATCCTCTGTTGAACTCCTATTCAGCCGTCAAAACCCATCTGAAATATAGCCTCTTCTGAGAAGCCCTCCTCAACTCTGGGAAGCTAGTGTGCCTTCTCTGTGCCCTGCATCACCAGTGGAAACATGGGGCTTCAAGGCAGAGGGAAGAGGGAAGAGTGTGGAGAGTTAGTGTGGGGAGTGGCATTGATGAGACTGGCCAAGGAAGGGAAGCTGGGTGGGGTAGAAATGCTGTGGGCTAGTCTCCCTTGGCATCAGTGCCAGCTCTGGAGCTGGCTCAGGAAGCGGTTCTAGCCCTCTAGACAGCTATGACCTGAGCAAGATAGATGTCTGTATCAGCCTGTGTTGGTGACGGCAAGCTTTGGCTGTGACCGGCCCTCCGGAGGCCAGACAGGGCAGGACATCCCGAGTGAAACGTGAACATGGAGTTGGGTGGACCGTCAGTCTGGAGGATACAGTTGCAGCTCTGTTTCCTCAGGGCCACTCACCTGACCGCAAAGAGTGTTGGGACTTGCTGAGGCTTGAGGCTGCCTGATAGGCAAGCGTGGGCCAGCCGGGAAGGCCAGCACAGCACCTCTTGGCCAGAGCCGTACTGTGGCTGGGTGTGCATCGTCTTGGGCCGGGATGCCGATGGTGATTTCCTGGACTTTTCACTGTCAGGCACAGGCCCTGGAGCTGTTTGGCTTCCAGCGTTTCTCTTCTCCAGGAATTCCTGGCGGGAGGGAGGTGGGAAGGGGATCTGTACTGGGTCAGAGAAAGGCATGGAAGGGGCTGGGACAGGTGGGCAGGAGGCAATGCACTTCCTACCCCACTCAGAAACTGACTGCAAACCTGACTCACATCAGACGTGGGGATATGTGGGGAGCCCAGGCCATACCCTACCACCGGACAAAGTCACGAGAGACAGTGACTTGAGTTCTCCCAGGGGAACATGTGGGATGAGGGACTCAGAGGATGGACTTAGGGTGACAGGCTCACAGTGGTGACCAGGGCCAGGATCAGAGCCTGCTTGGGCCTCGGTTTCCTTATCCACAGAGTAGGGGAAATCAGGCTAGGTAGCAGGCTGGATTAAGCGAACATCCCAGGTGGGCAGTGAGACTGTCCTGGGTGTGGGGGAGCGTCCCATGCCTCCAGCTTAGGACCCCTGACCCTGTGCTGCTCCCTCTGGGCCTGCCGTGGTGGCCCAGCCCCTCTAGGCTTGGGCTCTCTGGCAGTGACTGGCATATGACCTTCCGAATGACACACTGTTGACTCTTGGGGTGTGTTGTAGCTGCAGGCTGGCAGCGCTGTTCAAGGGTCTTTGATTTGGGGCACAGGGCCGGGGTCTTCCTGGAGACTGGAGAGGCAGCACATTGCCCGGCCCTGCGATCACACAGCTCCTGCTTGTGGTCTGGGAGGGATAAATATTGAGGGCGAGAGGCCCCAGATGCTCGGCTGCCAAGCATTGTAGCACACCGGCTGCCCCCTGGGGAGCAGTTTCATGTCCTGCCAAGGGGGATCTTTCAAGTGTTTGTGGGGTGTGCTGTCCGCCTGCATGCACGCACACACGCTTCCGGGAGGCGGCGTCTCCGGGTTCCTGGTGTGTTTGTGGGCTGCATCCCCACCCTCTGGAGGGAAGCCCAGTAATGCTGCAAAAGGACCTCTGTCCCCAGAGACGCTGCCTGGGCCTCCCTGGTTCCCAGGGCTCAAGAGCCCTTGACCCAACCGGCTACTGGCCGGGCCTGGTTCCCACCCTTCAGATGGTGGGTGGTGGCGGAGGCCTGGGGTTTCCATGCTGTCCCGTGAACACCTGGGAGGGTTATCCTGGAGCCATTAGTCCTGGGGGTACTCAGAGAAGGGGTGTGGACCTGGATCAAGAGTGGGGTGCAGGTCAAGGTGGCCCCTGAGGAGGTCCAGGGAGCGACAGCTTCTTCTGGTGTCACCCCCCATCCTGGGAGCAGCAGAGAGATCTCCTAGGAAGGCCAGACACCTTGCCCATAGGTGTTGCAGAGAGAGAGAGAGGAGGGGGCTTCGAGGCTCTCAGATGGGGAGGAGAGCATGGCTAGGCCTGGGGCACATAGGACCCCTAGGCCTCTTTTTCCCCAGGACAACTCCTGTCCACTTAATGTCCCGCTCTCCTACACATGAACCAAGTGGACAAGTACGTGCTTGATGTTCTTGCTGGCACCCTCCGCAGCCGTGCCCCCAGCACTGGGCACCTCAGGTCCACAGGGCCATTCTAGAACCATTCTTGGCGCTCAGGCTGGGCAGTGGGGCTCAAGGCACTTCAGGTCCGACCCCTGGGTCTTTGTGGGAAAGCCTGGTGGTGAGAGCAAGGTGTAGGGCAGGTTTAGCATGTTCCCGGCTTGATGGTGTCCTGTGCTGGCGGGTGGGCAGGGTGGAGGGTGACACAACACCAAGGCCATCATTGCCCTGGCCCCCCTCCTCCTCTGTGGTAACTCCTGCTGCCCAGTGCTGGTCTATGAGTCGGGGACAGAGCAGGGGTTAGTCTTTCAGCCCCACACCCTAACGTTCCCTTTTCATTTCTATTCTAGGACCTTTTACTACACAACCTACCGGCAGGTGTATGCCACTGAGGCCCGGACACTGCTCAGGTGCTGCCCTGGGTGGACCCAGCGGCCTGGTGACCAGGGCTGCCTGTCCCGTGAGTGTTCCGCCGACCCTGGTACTGACTCTTGTCCCCCTGACAGGCCCTGTGAATGTGGGACTGCGAGGTCTGTGTCTCGTGAGGTTTGTTCTCCCAGTGTCAGCCCAGTGTAGCCTCCTGTGCTTTTTGGGATGTCCAGGCCCGTGAACTCCATGACTGTACTGTCACTTGGTGTCAGAGAGAGACAAGGATGAAGTGTCGTGGGCCAGGGCTGGTTGGAGCGTCAGAGATGGAGCTGGGGGAGGTGGGTAATGGGGAGTGGTCTACAGCGATGCTCCCAGCCAGCTTGCAGGGGCACAGCCCATCTACAGGGTCTGAGGGCCTGTCAGGGGTGGGGGCTCTGGACACGGGTCTCATTAGTGTCAGGACCTGGGTGTCTCCTGGTTCTAGGCTTGTATGACTTTGAGGACCCATCACTTGCCAGTCATGCCATGCCCCCTTGCTAAATCTGGGGGCTCTTTGGTCACGACAGGTAAGGCTGGGGACCAGCTGTGCTGTGCTCCCTTGGGGTCATCAGGGGCCAGGCTAGGTGCCCTTAGACCTCGGTGGATACAGGAGGATGTTGCTCGTCCTTTCCAGCCACTCTCGCTGGCAGCCTGGTCCCCAGCCTCCACTACGTGCAGACGTGTCCAGCGAGGGTCCCTGATACGACGCAGGCCATTCCTGCAGCAGCTGTGAGGTGGCTGCCTCTGTGCATATGAAGAAACCCAAGTGTAGAAAGGCTGGGGGTGGGGGGCTCAGATAGGGCCAGGTATCAGCCTGGCAGGCAGCTGGAGCCAAATGGACTTAAAGGTGAATGGGGAGAGGTGGGCTCCCAGGAGAATGGGATCAGGCAGGCCAGCAGGTGAGGATGGTTGGCAGGTGAATGTGGGGACAGGTGGGCCTGCAGTGAGTGGGGAGGGGTGGGCTGTCATGTGAGGGAGGATAGGGACTTGCGGACGAGAGGGGATAGGTGGGCTGGCAGGTGAGTGGAGCCAAATGGGCAGTAAATGAGACTGTCTTTAAGAGGGATCAGTGTTTCTCAGAAGAGTCCACCACCTGAGGTTAATGGACTTCATCCCTCAGGCCAGGCCACCATCAGCTGTTAGCGCATTCTTTCTTAGCCATGAGGTGGGGACAGGCTGTGTCTCATGGGCCTGGAGGGCTTGCTCCCCTGGGCTGACCAGGAGGGGCCCCGAGCACCTGCTCCTGGCCTTTGTCTTCACCTTTCCTCCTCGCAGAGGTGGGAGCTGCTGGCCAGCCTGTGGTGTGTGTCCTCGTGTGAACTTGGGAAAAGGAGAATAAGAAGGACCAGGGGATGTTTTTCCAGCAGAGGAAGTGGTGATTCTCTCTGGAAAGGAGGAAGAGGAAAGGGAGTAGGAAGCTCCAGGCCTCCACCTGGCTGGGTGACAAGGACGAGGGGGGACAGGTGTTGGGTGCCAGCCAACAGGCCACCTCCGGGACAGCTGTGGGCGGGGTGGGAAGTGGCCTCTCTCATCACCGGCTGATCACACTGAAGTGTCCCTCCTCCTGCCCCCCACCCTGGTGTCTGCAGGAACAAAGAGGTAGTGTTTGGTGGCAAGGGGAGTGGGTGGGGCGAGCAGGCCTCATCAAAGAGGAGGTCTTCCCCCTGGGGTTCCGCTCCTATGGGAAGGTCCCTCAGGCCTCCCAAAGGGGGATCTAGTAATGTGCCGAAGGGCTGAACAATAATGGAGCTCTGAGGGGGCTGGGGATGGGGGCGGAAGCAAGGTCACATCCTGCTGCCTGGGGGCTCACTGGAGGGAAATGGCTTTTTGAGCTTGGGAAGAGATTGCAAATGCATGACCCTTGAGGGGCAGCCGATCTTTTGGGGTGGAAAGGGGTGTGTGTGTGTGTGCCTTATGCTGGGGGAGGGGTGGGCCATGCAGGTGGACTGTCTGCAGCTAGTGGGCCCCTGCATCCTCTGGGCCACTATCCCTTCACCCACTTGAGCTTGTTGGAGGCTGGCCATGGCTGCCCAGCGGGAAGAGGCTAAACCAGCTCAGGAAAGGGCTGAATTAGCCATCAGAGCATTTCAGTGGGAGGTAAGGCAGGGAAAGGGGCCTTGCACTGGGACCTCCCCAGGCATCCTTACCATGAACCGCCATGGGCACCCAGCCTCACCATTACCTGCAATCCCACATGCATTGTGAATTTGCAGAGGGACCCCCATATGCATCATGAACTTGAGACAGGACTCCCACATGCATCCCCAGATTGGGATGGGACGACCTTATTTGCACCATGAATTTGAAGAGAAACCCCTACATGTCTTTTGAACTTGAGGCAGGAACCCATATGCACCACGGGTTTGAGAGGAGACCCCCGGGTGTATCCTGAACTCCGTGCAGGCTCCTATGTGCAACTGGACTGGAAGTGCTATCTTGCTTTGTTGTTTGTTTAGAAAAGTTCATTTTTAGCCCAAGATGTACTGATTGCTGGGTCTTATTTGTTGTAATGAGCCTGTGATCTGGCTTCTCCGGAAGTTAACTTGTTTGCTCCCACTGTTTGGGTCACGGCGTGGGAAGGAAGCAGATGTGGGTGCATGGGGGATGGGAGTGGGTTCGCGTGGTTCCAGAAGGGTGTCCAGAGATTCCAGGGGTTGGTGTATTCATCTTTTTATCCGTTCATCCGTTCATCTGCCTGTCCATCATTCATCTGTCTGTCCTTCATCCATTCATTCACTTTCTCATTCATTTGTTTAACCATTCACTGAGTCACCCATTCATTTTTGTTCAGCTCTTGCCGTGTGGTGATTCTCTGTGGATGCTGGAGATTGGGGAAGACTCAGACAGTCTGGTGGGGGCAGCTGCCATGGGGTTACAGACTGGGGTTGGCGGGGTGTGCAGGCCTGGCCTGGGGATTAGAAAGGCCCCCAAGGATGCCCTCCAGGTTGCAGGATGAGGATGGACAGGTGAGGGCCTGCCAGATGGAGACGTGAGGATCTAACTGGGAACCCTGAGTAACAGGAGGTAAGGTTGCTGGAGCAGAGGGGCCAGGTAGGGGGAAGCTAAGCTGGCGGCGCCGGGTGTGATCAGGGTAAGTTGACAGCCTGGGCTGGGACGTGGCCCTCTGTGCTTGAGGCCCTTAGTCAAGGTGGTGGAGCTGGAGCCTCAGTTGATGTCTTTGCTGCCATGAGCTGCAGTGCCCGCAGCTCTACCTGGGGCCCTTTCTGTGAGGTGTTGGCGTGGATGAGAACATGGGGCACCAAGACAGGTGTGTGCCCTACTGGGCCTGATGCCTATAGTGTCTGAGCCAAGCAGCTGGGGGAGGGAAAGGCAGTGCCTGTCCTGGGTTCAATATCCTGCTGACTGCAGGGAGCAATGGGACTTGGGTAAAACCTGAGCCTTCAGGCTCATGTTCCTTGAAGAAGGTGTGACGGTGGGTGTCTTAAATGAGAATGTCATGACTAGTGTGAGTCTTGTCATGCTGGTGCACAGGGAATACTCGGACAGTGTTAAACAGGGGCTGTAGCGTCTTCTCCAAATCACAAGAACCTCCTCTTATATCAGTCAGGGTCAGACTGGCCTCCATGAGGTTTTTAAAATTTATTTTATTTTTCCCCCCCATAAGGTTTTCAGTGATTGTTTGGGAGTAGATCACCAGGCCTTTCTTACAAGGTACCTATGGATGGATTTGAAGTTCTAACCTTTCTGTTAGAAGCGGTATGTCTTCCTGTTCATACCACCCAGAGATTGCCAGCAATGCCAGGTGTTTGGGACAAGGACCACTCAGCCATGATCGCTTGCTGGCTTCACTGATGGCACTTGAGGACCTCTCACCACCCATGGCTGGTCGAGACCCCAGCCGATGGCAGTGGTAGGGGTGGTGTGTGCTCAGGCTAATGGGTCCACCCCTCCCACCCACCATTGTTACAATGGTTGCTGAGCCCCGGTGTGACCTGGAAGCGTGGCTGTGTGGAGGGCAATGTTGGGGTCTGAGGGTCGGCCAGGTTTGTGGAGGAACGCAGAGACTTTTAATGAGTGTGAGAGAATAGCCGGAAACTTCTAATCACACTGCAATTTCTCCTCACTCCACCCAGCAACTGGAGGCTGGGAGGGGACCAAGAAGAAAATCTCCCTGGGAAGGCAGTGTGGCCGGTGACCAGGGTTCCTGAGTCCATGTGGCTCTACTGACAGCTGCCTCAGACCTTGTCTGGGCACCACTCTTACCCAAGTAGTGATGAAAAGTTTTGCCAAGACCCCCAATGTTTCAGCCACAATCTCATGGGTCCGAACCATCTGCCTTGGGCTCCTAATGGAAGAGGGGATGGATCCTTGATGCCCAGGGTGGTTGAGCAAGGTGCCTGGGCTGTATGCAGCTCTGTTGTGGTACCTGAGCAGGGCATAGGCGGGGGTGAGACACTGGAGGCCCTGTCTGCTGCTTCCCTGTGCCTCTCTCAGCATGTCCTGGAGGCCGAAGATGGAGAGACTGGGCTAGAGTTGCTTCTGGGAGCAGTGCCAGCTCCCTGGGTGTGAAGCGTATGTTTGCAAAGGATTCTTTGGTCCAGGAAGCGTGGGGCCGTCTGTGTGGAGCAGGGTTGAATAGGCCTCTAGTCTGTGGGACTTCTCAGAGCCATTATGTGCAAATGTGCATCCTGGATTCCTGGGACGGAGTATTAGTAGTTTATAAGGCGATGGACCTCTTGAGAGAAGAAGAAGCGAAGGACAAGGACAACCAGTGAATAGTCGAGCAGTGTTCCTCGAGCAGGCATGGAGAAATGCTGGCATGGTTCTGGAGCCATGCACAATTCCAAGAGTCCTTCAAGAACTGAAGGCAGCCCTGCTTGCTCAGGACCCGGGGCAGGAGACGCAGGGAGAGGAAAGAAGGAAGGAAGGAAGGAAGGAAGGAAGGAAGGAAGGAAGGAAGGAA